AAAATGCGACTTATACGCGACTTATGTTTTTTCCCCCCTAAAAAACACTTTTTTTTTTTATACGCGTAGCGTATTTTAACCATGCAGCAAACCTTTTTAAATATTTGTATAAATTACTGAAAAAATAAATAATTAAATGACTTTTTAAACCGTTTAACTGATTGTATTAATCGGTTAAAAATTCTTACGGTCGGTTAACCGGTTAAAATGAACATCCCTACTTACAATACAGAAGAGTTTGGGGTAAGCTGTGGCATATTTTACTTAATTTGTCGTCTTAGCATTGAGAAAAGAGAATCAAATACTATTTAAGCATTAAAACAATGCTTATAACTTGCATGCATCTCTCAAAGTTATATATGGCAGCTAAATGATAAACTCTTTCTAAAAATAATGCAGTTTGCAAGAGGAAGGGAGCAAAAACCTACCCCACTCTCCCTAACATTAGAAAATGCCTGCAAAATGTCTAGAAATGCTAAGTCAACGGTAGTATATTTGGTGGTTTCTCACCGTATGAGCTGTGAAATTAGTCACTATTTTCAGAGGATCTCAATCTCTGATGTGTTAATGAGAAAATGAGGGAATAAGTCTGAGGTGGGAGAGATGCTGCTGCTCTCTATGCCTGAGAATTGACCTTGATTTACTACTTATATTATTATGCACTAGATCTGGTCATTGACCAGGGTTAGGAGGAAGCAAGCTGCTCCTTAACCCCAAGGTTAAAAAAAAAAAATCAATGAAGTCATGCCTCAGTAATGGGCTAATAGTATTTTAGTATTGGATTGGATTAGTATCTTTAAAACCAGGTGTCTAGCTTGACCGGATTCTCCTCCATGAAGCCTGATCGTAACTTTGAGCACTGAAATAGACTACACTGTGGGGTAGCTGATGCTTGACTGTGGCCTTTAGCATTGTGTCTCTATTAAGACTGCTGTATCATCACTGCCTGCAGCCACACTGGCTGCCATTCAGGTAGGACTGGATGTGATGCCAATGGCATAGAGGGATGGGGGTGATGTGGGTGTGCATGTCTGTGTGCTTTCTGGGATGGCTGGGGGCTTGTTCATGTAAAATGTGACCGAAAACAGCAGAGCTGTCTCATATTGTTAAGAAAAAGCAGTAAGATTTAAGGAAGGTTGTTTTGTAGTTCTGCTCAAAACACCAACCCAAACACATCAACATACAATACCATTTAAAGACGGGGCACACTTGACTGAAATAAAGTTTCTGTTAAAAACCTGTTGATTTAAAAGCCTATGCTTAAACACAAGAAAATGCATGTCTATGCCATGAATTTCTTTACAAAACTGCCAAGTGAACATGTGCATTTCTTTTAAAAAAATTGAAAAACCCAGGATGCCTCTTCCTACTTTAAAGAAGCTAAAACATTAGTTAAGTTTTGATTTGCTTAACATTTTTAGTTTCTATTTGATTCCAATTGTATTGTTTTCATTGTTTAGGGGTCTAATTTTTAAAAATATGTAAAATAGATAACAATATGTAAAATAGTAACAAAGATATAAAAATAATATACAAATATTTATTAATAATAACATAAAAACAAAAACAAATATAAAACAATATATGTATATAATTATTATATAATTGTATTTGTACTATACAATTCGCTTATCCAAATTTACATGATTGTAAGTAATTACTATATTATAATTTTATTTAAAGTAAAAATGTATTATTAGTATATAAAATTCATGTTTACATGTTTACAATTCATGCAGGATTCATTGGCTCACAAAGCAGTGATCCATGGTGTTTCTTTACAGTTATGTCAGGCTTGTGGTTCAGATTACACATGAAAGGAGAAAAGAGAGGATTGGACAGAGGACCATAACAATACGAGCGGGTGTAATTACAACACATCTCTATAGACTGACCAGCGGATGACACTGACCTACAAACTCTGGGGTACCAAAGATGTTTTTGAAATCGTTGCCAAAATCGATCTTGTGGGCCAAGCCAAAGTCAATGAGCTTAATGCGCGGGTGAGGCACACTCCGGTTCAACAGCATGATGTTCTCCGGCTGAGAGAGATGAGAACAGAGAAAGAATTGGAGGGAGAATGCAAAAGAGAGAATCAGAGGAACTAATGATAGGTGCAGAACAAAAACACAGCAGGAGTGAGAGAGAGAGAGCAGGAAATCTGCCATAACACATGGAAATCACATGCAAAGCTACAGAAACGTTCACTAGAAAGCACAGGCATACTCAAGCCAGTCAGTAACAGATCCCTGCCTGGACATTCCATAGAAACAATACTTCCTTCAGTGGGCTTTATTCATGCATGGACTAATCTCTTAAAAGCTCCAATGACTTCAAAATATTTAACAGAAATGTTAGGGAAAGCTGTGTGGATGACTGCTCTGAAAGCAGTGGATCTAATTACTTAAACGCCGTTGCTAGAGTAACATGAATGTTTCGAAATAAAATGCTAATAATGAGCAACTCTGTGACAGCTTGACTATTTTATTTTATTCTTTAGGTCTCAGTTAAGTTGGTTAATGTGAATGTCGGCTGCTTTGAAGTTCATTTTTCAGTTAGACTGGTTATTCAGGTTAAGTGGTTTTAGTGGGAGGTAAAAACTCAATCTACATCTGAAACTTTCAAAACAAAGACTACTAGAATATTAATGCGATTCTGCAATAAAACCTGTCAAAAATTACAGGGACTGAATTTATGACCATCCCAGCTCTGGGATGCCCAGCAATTATGTAAAGGGTGGAAATAAGTGGATAACCAGCAAGGAAGATAAAAGCACCTCAACTGATTTGTTGTGGCTGGTCCACGGCGATGCTAATCGCCACAGTCTGCCATTGGGGTGAAACTCAAACATGTCTCAGTACCTTCAGGTCAAAGTGGGCAATCTGTTTGGAGTGTAGGTAACTGACTCCATCCAAGATCTGCTTGAGGAACTCGGTGGCCTCCTCTTCACTCAATGACTCTTTCTCAGCTAGAAAGTCAAAGAGCTCCCCACCTGCCACACTGTATAGAGAGAGGACAGATGCTGACACTTGCAATAGAGCTGGTTAGTTGATCATCTTCATTTAACCAGGATAAAACTAATTGAGAATTAAAGGGATAGTTCACCAAAAATGAAAATGTTGTCATCATTTACTCACCCTCGCGTCGTTCCAAACCTGTATGAGTTTCTTTCTTATGTTGAACATAAAAGAAGATATTTTGAAGAATGCTGGTAATCAAACATTTGATGGTCCCCATTGACTCCATAGTATTTCTTTCTCTACTATGGAAGTGTTTCTCTACTGTGGGGACCAACAACTGTTTGGTTCTTCAAAATATCTAAAGAAAGAACTCATACAGGTTTGGAATGACATGAGGGTGAGTAAATGATGACAAAAGTTTTTGGGTGAATTATTCCTTTAAACACAAGAGTGACTTGGCCAAGACAGCAGCAAAGAACACAATAACTAGTTGCATACAACCAAAAAATTAGTGAAAAAAAAACAAATCGCAAATTATAAGAATAAAAAAAAAAATAACTAAACATTCGCAATTAAAATATCAATATAACCTTTCAAACCAGTTCTACACTAACACGGGGAACAGCCAGATGTGGACAATAGATAGAAGACAATGGATAAATAGGTTTAAAAAAGTGATTTAGGTGAGAATCATAAACCCTACAAATCAACTTTCACTAAATAAAATAGAAAGAAAAAGACCAATAAAATTACCGGAAAATTAATTTAGAAATAAGAGATCACTATAGTGTATCAAAAAATAAATAAACAGTAATATACAGTATATCTCACAGAGTGAGTCTAGCTAATTAAACAGAAGAACCAATCTCTCTAATGTTTCTGAGTGATTCACTCTGACAGAAAGGGATGTTGGCAGTGCTATAATCATGGCTTCTGGGAGAGGACCAACAGGATGATCTGGCCATATATTTATTCAGCAGAAGGAAGCTGCAAACCAGCTGCACGCTGATGACATGATAACGCTTGCTGCTAATTGTGAGGTTGAGCAAGTGCAGCGACGAGCCACCCAGCTGCAAAAACACCGGCAGCAGATATGTCTCTATTCCCTTCACAGAAACGGAAAGAAAAACACCAGCCCCCACCCTGAACAACAGAAGGCTTGTAGCCAGATTTCTGACTCGTCTAGTCCTCATTACAGCTTGTTCTGGCAAAGAACCAGCCACTTAATCAAGAAAAGACCATCTGAACGACATGTAAAGCAACAAACCACCATTTAGAGTGGATCTTAGTTCTTCCTCAAAAGTGCTCATTGTATCAACCTGCTACCTTGAAATTGTGAATTTCTTTCCAGGCAAACTGATAAAAAGCCGTTTTCACTTTCGGAAGTTGCGTAGTGCCAGCCAATCAGATTTCAGCCAGCACGTGCTATTTTTGTATGCCTCAGACGGTCAGTGAACAGACTGTGGGCGGTCCATGAGTATGCCATCTGAGACTAAAAAAAAACAACAACACACTATAGTCTGTAACATCTCACTTCACAATATTAGTTGGCAGCACAAAAGTTTTGAGAGGACGCCAAATGACCTGAAAATGAAACTTGACCTTCAGTTCCGAGGTCAGGACTGTGTGGTTATATCCTTAAGCAAGGTACTTAACTCCAGATTCTTCAGTAAACAAAATAGCTTCACTGATGAGTAATGTGTAACAAATATGAGCTCAGAACATAGCTGCAGGGACGCCCTTTGTCACATGGTATGAAGAAGCAAAGAAAACCAGTTGGATGAGGAGACACTTCAAGAGGTTCTGAGGAAAGACACTTCCTTCACATAATCTATGTGTAACAAAACAATTCTGCTGAAAAGGTTAAGGTTCAACATTCCAGACACTGATTCCGTTAAATACTTACTGTATTTACTAAATTGCAAAATATCAAATTACAAAGCTCCTTAAAATAATTGCATATTTCAAAACCTATTCTGTTCAGATAATGAGGAATTACACACAATGTAACGATGAGTGACTCAGTGATGGCTTGATTATTTTTTAATTTGTCCTTTGGGTCACACTTTAAGTTGCTTGCAATGTTAGACGTTAATGTTAGATGTTGGTTTTCAAGTTAGACTGGTTACTCTAGGAAGTGATTTTTGAAGCACAATAGGATAATACTACATCCTAGTCTGTCCAATACACACAAACACACACACACATAATGATATATAAAAAAAAATAACAAATGTAATGTCAGGTCTATTAGCAACTCTGACACCAGTCTAGTCAGGATGCAACCCTCAATGGCTTTTACATCTGCATTTTTTAGATAACCTGTAATATAAACTTAATGCACATATTACTTAAAATAAACTTTGCTTAATCAGTCAAAGGTCTTTGTCTTTGTGTACCAGTATAGTTAAGACAGTACAGACATCAATACATATATTTTCTCTTTGAACACATTGGCAGTAGTGTGCATAGTACAACAGGCAAAACTGGTTCACCTACTCAATGGACTGGTTCTCCTCAACCCCCCACTGTTGACCTTGTCAAGTGTTTGCTTTGCAAGTAAAGGTTGGTGCTACTGAATTCATTGAGAAGCCCTTGAAAATGTATTCTATACATTTATTTATACGATCATGTTCCAGAGCTCTACAAGAGCTAGTTGTTCATGCACTACAGTGTCTATTACCAGTCTGAGTTCTTAGTTTTTAGAAATGGAGGCTGTTAATGATTTCATGATTCAGTAAATGCAAGGAAAAACAATGACTTACAGCTCCAGGATGAGAATGACCTCGTTCTTGTTTTCAAACACATTGTGCAGGGTGATGACATTGGGGTGCTGGATTTCCTTCAAGATGCTGACCTCCCTCTCAATGTCGTTTTTGGAGACCCCTCGCCGACTGGATTTGCTGCGCCTTTTCTTGATAAATTTGGCTGCATACTCCACTCCAGTGCTTTTATGACGGCATTTCTTTACCACGGCAAACTGACCACTGAAAAAAATAAAAAATAAAACAACGATTGTTGTCATATTTAAGCACTAACAACCAAATATTCAAGAGCCTGGTTACTCAAAGCACATTAAATATTTTACAGAATAGGACTAAATACAGTACACACCTCAATACAAAAGTCTTAACATTAAGCAGAGGTTTGTTGCATAGAATTTCAGAATAGTAATATTCAGAAAATGACATGATGCTCTAAAATTAGAAGAGAAGATGAATCTTTAATGTTTTACTCCTCTATAACATATTGCCCACAGGCAGGACTCCATATTCCCCTTTGACATGTTCCCATCTCAGTCTCCGTAAGTCACGACATGCGTTCTGAACCACTGCCAGAAACCAACAGTCACCCAAGCTGAACGGTTGCAAATCGCCAACAAAATCAAGTCAGGCTGAACATCACAACCACATTTAATCACTAATATCAAGCCGTGTAAGAATGTAAGAATTCTGCTGAATGACATAAAAAAGACCTATTACTTCAGCAGATTAAACACAAAACAGCATGATAGCTATGTTTTCCCACATGCTGTAGATATTCAGTGCTGTTCTAAGGATAATATTATCAGGGTGGATAACAATGACTCCCACGCTATGCCATTTAAAAGCATCACAACAAACACACCCGTATAATACACCGACAAGCACATTTGGGCCCCTGAAGCTTGTAACTCTGCCAAACAAGCAGCATATATTGTGAGGAATTTCCCAATAGGATCCTCTCAAAATGTCACAGCTCTGCAACATTTCTGGCTCTTTTTTAATGTAGCTGTTATACAGCTGTTGGGAGGTTTCTTTCTACGGAGATAACAATAGCTTTTAGGCAAAGAAACAAAAAGCTAAACAACACGGGAAAGGAAAAGGAAAAGGAGTCCTCGGGATGGGGCTTTCTGATGCAAATACAAAACGTAGGGCCTCTATATTCTTGCCTGCTCCACCTTTTGTCACCCAGACAGCAATCAGGCCCCACAGCAACGAGAGACAGTACATTTGCATTTTATCTGGGGCCTGAAAGGTTCAGAGAAAGCAGACATCCTCCCTGAGTCATCTTAAAGGAGTAGTTCACGCAAGAATGAAAACAGTGTCATCATTTAGGCCTAAATTAAATGCATTTGACTCCTATGCAACACAAAACATGAATTTCTGAAGAATGCCCTGGCCACTTCCTTCCACATATTAAAAGTGAATGATGACTGGGGCTGACAAGCACAAAAAAAAAGTACAATAAAATCAGTTTCCAAGTCATTTATTCTAAAGCCACTGGACAGCCTGTGTAACAAACAAACTAAAACAACAATCATAATTCACTGCTAAACTTCACCTTCAGCAGACTTTTAAAAGGATAGTTCTGTCATCACTTATTCAACCTTATATGTTCCAAACAAGCTTTTGTGCATCTTTAACGCACAAATCAAGATACTTTTAATGAAACCTGACAGATTTTTGTCCTTCAAGTGAAAGTCCATTCCACCAAATCTATGACACTTCAAAATGTTCATAAAGACATCGTAAAATAAATGTATATAAATAGAACGCCGGCTCCTGCGTCAGCAGCATCACACACGTCCTGTGGTACTCTCACGAACGTGCGTCTAAGACTAATACGGAAGAGAAGAAATTGTTGAATGAAGTCATTATTTTTGTTTTCTTTGCATACAAAAAGTATTCTCGTAGCTTCATAGCATTACGGTTGGACCACTAATGTCACAAAGACATGTGCCGGTATTCGGTAATGCGATATGTCACGATAATGAATATGCACGGTATTGTTATCATGGGCACTTCAAAATACAGAGAATAATTATTTATTACAAATTATTCAGAATTTTGAATGCATTTTAAGAATACTTCTTAAAATGAAAATAAAGTGAAACTTAAATCTATAGGGGTGGTTGGATTTATTCACGCACGTTAAAATATTTATTTAAAGCTTCTTTCTTTTCAGATTCTTATTTACAGCATTATCTTAATAGGCTGTATATTAACTTTGGGAGAAAACCGGTAGTTCTATGTGAAATCAGGCCCCCATATAGCACCCCCATATAGCCAAAATGGCATGATCATAACACCTCTGCGAATATTCGACTGTGAGATTGCTAGTCGAATCGGGCTCCTCCTATCGAAGCGTCGACTATTCTGGGTTACCCCTAATATATATATATATATATTGTATGTCTCCCTTATCAGACACACCCAATTCATGTCTTGCAGTCTCTACTAATGAGCTGATGAGTTGAATCAGGTGTGTTAGATGAGGGAGACATACAAAATGTGCAGGGCTAGGGGTCCTCCAGGACAGGTTTGAGAACCACTGGTATAGATGACAGTATTTTCACAAAAAAGCCAAAAATTTCAGTCTGTTCCTCATACAAAGATGTTGTATGGCTTCAGAAGAAGTAATATGGATCACTTTTATAATACTTTTTTGAGATTTTGGAGCTTGACTGCACCCGTCCTCATTTACTTCCATTACAGAAGAAAGTCATACTGGTTTGGAACATTTCCATATTAAAGGCACAATATGTAATATTTTTTATTAAAATATCCAAAAACCACTAGAACAGTGTTATATATTTTGCTGACTTGTGTACTTGCATTATCCCAAATGTTTCGAAGAATGTCTAAATGTCTAAATCAGAAAGTCATGCCTCGTGGTTCTGACAGCGTAGCTTTTGGCATTCAGGCATGTCTAAATGCTTTTGTCAGTGACACTCCTCAGTGGGAGCAGGGCATGGGTCTTCAGCTGTGCCAGTTTCCATAGCAGTGCTGGGGGCAGGGCAGCGGGAGAGGAGGGGGTCGTGTCAGCTAGAAAGAGGCCTGCGGAGCACAACGGTCCACAGCAAACATCGTCATACATAGCTCGGCAACCAGCCAACAATAGACATGGCATGTTTTTCTCTTATACGAGTCAGGCAGTTCCCAAAGTCCTTTTCAGAGCTGTTTCTGTCCGCTCTGTTGGCAGTGCATCTTGCCTTACGGCAGTTCCGGCCACTGCTACAGGACAAGCACGTGTTGGTCTGCATGGACAACACTGCGGCCGTGTCATACATCAACCGGCAGGGAGGTCTACGTTCATGTCGCATGTCACAGCTAGCCCGTCATCTCCTTCTCTGGAGTCAGATGTGGCTCAAGTCGCTGCGCACTGTCCACATTCCGGGGGAGCTCAATCATGCAGCCGACGCGCATGATTGAGCTCTCCATCCCGAGACAGTCTGGCTGATTTGGAGTCGATTCGGGAAAGACCATGTAGACCTGTTTGCTTCCCGCGAGTCCTCCCACTGGCAGCTGTATTACTCCCTGACCGAGGCCCCCCTCTGCACGGACGCACTGGCACACAGCTGACCTCAGGCTCTACACAAGTATGCGTTTCCCCCAGTGAGCCTTCTCGCACAGACACTGTGCAAGGTCAGGGAGGACGAGGAACAGGTCTTGCTGGTTGCGCCGTACTGGCCCACCCGGACCTGGTTTTTGGAACTAATGGTCCTCGCGACAGCCCCTCCCTGGCGCATCCCTCTGAGGAAGGACCTCCTTTCACAGGGGCTTGGCACCATATCGCACCCGCGTCCAGATCTCTGGGACCTCCACGTATGGCTCCTAGACGGGACACGGCAGACTTAAGTGATCTGCCACCGGCGGAGGTAAACGCGCAAGCCTATGCTCTGAAGTGGAGTCTGTTCGTGAACTGGTGTTCTTTCTCGCCGAGAAGACCCCCGCACGATTGGAGTAGTGCTTTCTTTCCTGCAAGAAAGTTTGGAGCGTAGGCTCTCACCCTCCACCTTGAAAGTGTATGTGGCTGCTATCGCAGCACATCACGATGCCTGAGGGGTGCTAGAAGGTTAAATCCTCCTAGGCCACCCCTGGTGCCCTCCTGGGATCTCTCTACTGTCCTGGCTGGCCTTCAGATGGATCCCTTTGAGCCGCTGGACTTAGTTGAGCTTAAGTGTCTGTCTGCTAAGACAGCGCTCCTGACCGCACTCACTTCCATCAAGAGGGTCGGGGACCTCCAAGCATTTTCGGTGAGCGAAGAGTGCCTTGTGTTCGGGCCAGCCTACTCTCACATTGTCCTGAGACCCTGGCCTGGATACATGCCCAAGGTTTCCACCACGCCCTTTCGCGATCAGGTGGTGAACCTGCAAGCACTACCCTCGGAGGAGGCAGATCCAGCCTTGGCGTTGCTGTGTCCCGTAAGAGCGTTGCGCATATAAGTGGAACGCACCCGGAGCTTTAGAAGCTCTGAGCATCTCTTTGTCTGCTACGGAGGTCAGCAGAAAGGGAAGGCTGTCTCCAAGCAGAGGTTGGCCCACTGGATAGTGGATGCCATTGCCTTGGACTACCAATCCCAAGGCGCGCCTCTCTGGCAGACATCTGTAGAGCTGCGGGCTGGGCGACACCAAACACCTTCGCGAGATTTTACAGTCTCCGCGTTGAGCCGGTTTCTTCCCATGTTTTGGGTAACAGGAAAATGGCGGGAAGAGCCGGCCCATGTCATGCTTTCTGTGCCATTCCCCCTCACCCGGGGATGCGAGCGCCTTTTCCTCCTCCAGTAAGTTCCCCGGTTGGCGAACTCTGGTTGAGTATCCTCCAGCACCCCCGGCAGTCAGACTGGGCGGAGCAGTCTGACGCCAGGCCCAGTATCGGTGTTAGCTTGCCCGGGTTTCCAGTCAGCCCCTTTACTGGGCTAGGTGTCCATATGGCTTGATTCCCTGCGGGCGATCCCATATGTGTATTCTTCCACGGTAAGGTTTCCCTCTCAGTGAACCAGTGTCTTCCCTTTGACAGACCACTCTGTCAGTCTCTGCTGGCAGCAGTTCCTCCCTACTCCTAGGTAGGACCTGCCTCAGAGACCCATTCCATATGTAGTACTGCCCCAGGCCTGGGTCAGTCCATATCAGTGTCTCCACATGATACCTCCCTACGGCCAGGATGTGGTCTCCATAGCGCCCTTCTCCGGAAGGCTCGCTTCCCCTTCGTAACTGCCAAGCTGT